GTTGTTCGGTTGAAAAGATGCTTTGACACCCGGAAGTGGCTATCTGATTGATGATCTTTGATTATGGTTGGTTAAGGTATGTGTCCACCCTCTGTCCGATTTCCATCCAGTTCGCCCTAGCTAGGTGACCAACAACCCAAATGGGAAGACGCAGAGAAGTTGTGATTTGTCGTGAACTGGTACTGGCTTTCTGACCGGTGGGACTGCTGTCTGTCGGCATTTGTAGAGCAGGATAAACGAAGCAGCTTTGTGGGTCTGTTTAACGCTCATTTGGAGGCGGTCCGCGAAGATCTCACATTTGAATGGCAACTGTTTGAATATCTTACGTTAAAGAATCGTGACTAAGTATTCTTTTGCTGTCCGCTTCTATCTGTGTCCATCAAGTACGTGTCTGATAACAAAATCTCATTTCTTGATTTCGTTAGAACAGAAAGAGAAGATAGATGCTGCGGGATGTTAACTTTTCTTTTGATCAACTCAGTCGCCACATCTTAAAACAAGCTTGCATTTATACAACACATTTTTGTTAACTACACTGATTCAACGAATGATAGTCAGGGCATCTGGGGAGGGGAGTATCAGTTCCACGACAATTTGACTGATTGCCTCGGAGACTGTTGTGTTGTCGGTGAACTACTATAAGTATAGGAACTTTCTTTTTCAAATACCAGGTTGTTTTACATTGTAGCAAATGAGGAGTTTACAAGAAATGTTAACATCTCGCAGTGTTTGTTTTCTCTCTGTTCAAACGAATTGGATAAATAGGACCTAATGTTTTAAATTTCTAGGTTTGGTGTCTACCAGACGCCGAGATGTGAGTCCGAGCAGATCCATATTTGTTCTGGTTGACAGTGAGATTTCACTGGTTTTGTACCTTAGAGTTACAACCTGGGACTGGTAACAACGAAGTGTGTCAGGGCTATAAAGTTTTACATCACGGACAACAGTTATGCCAAAATAGGGCTTATGGTTGAAGCTTTCAAGTTTAACAGTTACTTGTAAACTTGTAATAATAGACACAATTGTGTTTTCTTCTCAAGTTCATTTCGAGAGAAGGCTGTTTCGAATTACAAATGTTGGTTCACTATAGTGTTTTCTGTATTTCAAGTTATTTCTTCCCGGTTGTTTTTCTGGCTTATTTAAACACAAGCACAAAGTTCTACTCGGTGGTTTCAAGATTAAAACGATATACATATGATCAACCTCTGTAGCCTTCATATAATCTGCTAGTTCTTTTAGTTAAATTTGGAAAAGGGCGCACTATGATACCGCTTCCGGATAACCAGTTAGCACGATATGGGATACCATCACATCTGGTGAGTCCAAGCACATGCAATGAAATCGGTTAAATGTAGGTGGACGCGTATAAGAACTCATTTATAGCATTGGAAGCATTCCTTTTATGGTCAAGAAAGAATACACGATAATGCATATACTTGAGGATTGGTTGACTGGATAAATGGCAACCGTCTTGATTGGCTGTGGATCCGGACCAATCACCTGCGTTCGGTAATCTTTGAACTGATTGGGTATTCTGGAACAAAGCACCTCTAATGCAGTATGCCGGCTCCCTGATTCACTCCTTCACACGTTACGAATAATGACTCATACCATCTTCCATACATCAGAGATATAAAGTGATCATTTTGACCGTTTTCTTTTTTTATGTTCGACAACTTCAATCAGGTGAACTGTCGAGTCACCGTTATTCGTAACTTTTGATAAATAGAAGTGATCTCTATCTTCGCACAGTTTGTTTTCTATCGACTGAATAGTACCAATCTTCAGGCACTTACAGTCAACAGTGACAAATACCAATGACATCACTATCAGCTGTTTAAAGTCATCCAATGATGCTAAAGCTTAATCCAGTAAATAGAAGCGCATAGCTAGTACTATTCTGTTAAATGCTCGTTTGGTCCTGTTCGCAGTTTTAATAATAGCCCTTAGGGTTTGAGTGGTTCAATTTTGTCCGTACCCCAATCACAACTACCAGTACGATAATTGTAGTTAGCCATAATAACAAACATTACAGAAAAACAGAGTGGCGAACAAGCTCGTTTTCAGAGATTCGTATTCATGCCAATCTATCTCAGAATGCATCACTACTTGGGAAACTAAAAGTTAAAAAAATCAAAGATTACCAGAGACCATTTCATCATAAGATCGGAAATCGTGTGTGCCCCAAAAATGATTTGTGCAAGCGCTACGTCTTCCCCGGACCACCCCCTACACACANNNAATATGTGATCGTGGTGAACCCGATTTCCGATCTCATGATGAAATCGTTTGTGATTGTTATTTGGCAGATTTGAAGTTTGTATGTCGATTGTGAAAAGTTCAGTAGCCTCGCGAACTACGAGGCCACGTAGCTCAGCTGGTAGAGCATGCGCGTACAAAGCGTAGGCAGCGTCCATGCCTAGGTTCGAATCCCACCGAGGCTCGAAAACGTTTCTATTAATCTGCGATTTGATTTGACTTTCTCAAGACAATTCTATTCCAAAGTAGTGATATATATTGAAATGTATTGACATGAGTACGAATCTCTGAAAATGAGCGTGTTTGAAATGTGCTCTGCGGGACTATTGTGACAGTTACTGACAATTACTCACATGAAATAAATAGTCAGGTTGTGAATGTTTCCAACCGAGTCATAACCCCGGGAGGCTAGTGCTGAGATCAGCAGCAGCAAGCCCGCAACAAGCCCGCACAGATGGATTGTACTATATTGTGTAAATGGAAAATGGAAAACGGTTTGGTCGGCTGCCCGGTGGCCGAGTGGGTAGCATGCTTGCGTTCTGCCCATGAAATCCCGGCTTCGATCCCCAGTTCGGTCGATGGATTTGCACTACTGATGAGACCCAACCAGGTTGAAACAGCTATCCAGTGCTTCCTGCCTTTTCAGTTCACGCCTCATTTGTTATGTGTACCACGAATTCCCAGTTGAAACAACTGGGGCAGTTTAATGAATCTGTGTGCTGTATAATGAGATTTGGATGCTCCCCTTTCTCATACGTGTGAATTATCGTAAATGTCTGTGTCGGACGCTTGCAAAACACGATCGCACTTTGGAAAGACATCTTGGACAGTGAAAACGCTGCACCGATGCAACTCAGGTTGACGAAAACTAGTTACAGCAGGTATTGTAATCTGCGTCAAAGTGAACTAACAGAAAGCCAGTGTGAGTTGGCTAAGCAATATAGTGAAAATTTTGCTAAATGCCAGGAACGACTGAAAACAGACCAGTCAAATTTGTGTGTCGGACGAACTGCGAACTCGAACATTTTCACAATCGGGTCGAAAACTTTTCGATAGATTCCTTGCATTCCTAGCGTGATCTGATTCAAATTTAATGGAGTAATAATCGAACGTGTTACTCAAATTCAGCGGAGAAATACGTGCAACGTTTTTGGAATCCGCTAGCCAATGGTTTATAGTTGAATACATTGTAGTTTTTTATCAATGATTTTTCCTTTATGTACCTCGAGGTTAGCTTTGTACTGAGCCGTTCGTCGTAGATGGGGTTAAAGAAAGTCCGTATTCCACGCTGGAATCATATTAAACGGCAGAAAGCTTTCTCAATTTCCACCCGATCATCAATTTCTCGATAGCATCAGGTGGAAGAAATGGGAATTTGTCGGATGTACCGCCGTTCCGCAATGTAGTATTGAGAGAAATGATCGTTTTGCTCTCTCGTCATTTCGTTCATCACCAATTAAATACCTTGATTTTCGCCGTTTTTGTTTCATCGAAGTATCATATTCAATCCGTTTACTCATTGACTATTAAGATTAGAAGTGTAGCTGTTTTCTTTTCATTCGACAGCTGACATGGAGGCGAAACTGAACTGCAACACCAGACGGCACGTTCTATGGTCGCCCATATATGTTGTTGAATGACTCAAAAACCGGCTGAAATGAACGTTTGTCCGTTTCTTTTTTTTCGGGGGGGGGGGGGATTGGAATATTTTGGCTTTTTTGGGTGTTAAGTGTTTACCGAAATTTCTGTAGTTTACGTTTCACGTGTGTTCGCAAACGGGTAGAGGGCAACAATTGATATCCGACACAATATCTTCAAACTGAAGAGTTTTCTGTAACCTAGTGACTATGTCGGTCGGAGTGTGCATTCTTTTAAACTGAAACGTCAGTTGTAAAGGAAATGTTTGGGATGATCAACAAAGAGCACTGGGCAGCTGTTTCGTCCTGCCTCGGACTAGTCAGCAGTGCGTACTTTTTGTAACCCTGTCAGGAATCGAAACACGAACGTTCTAGTCAGCTCTTCAAAACCTTATCCCCGAGCTATATAAACACTTTAATTGCGTTTGAATTAACAATCTCCCAAGGAGTGAAACCCACATCCAAGACCATCAAGGGTGCCTGGTGCCTCTGAAAAATCGAATAAGATAATCCAAGTTTGATACTATAAATTGAACTGTCAGTTCTTGTGCTTGTACAAATAACAGAATATATATTATATATAATATATAGCAACCCACGGGCATGATCGATAAGGGCTTTCCATCTCTACTGAAATTTATCAAACTTGCTAGCTTATTTAACATGAAGAACTGTTTCAAACAATGGTATTTTTCCACCTTCTCTAGCGGTTATTATTCCGGTGTGCTGTGGTACTGTATGCAGCATGCTGAAACAATTATTTGCTGCATCTATTTCTTGACTACTCGTAAGTAGCGCTTTTCCTGATCAAACTCATTCATTTGACCTATTGGACTGTTCAGCTGTATCAGGTCACTGAGGTAACCTTGTTCAAACAACGCACCACACGAATCATTATCATGGAACAAGAGAGTGAAGATGGATTTCCAATCAATGCGCACAGTGCTGACTGGCATCACAAATTCAGTCTGAAGCCCTCGTTACAAGAAACCCGCCCTCAACCTGGACTGGCTTTGGATGGAAAATTGAAACACGAGGACACCACGCTCGCATCGTCCACTTTATTGAAAGACTTTCGTAAAAAAGAAGCACTTGGAATGATTGTGCAATACAGTGTGAGTTGTTTCATATGATTATTCTTTGTGAGTTACATGGTAACAGTTTCCCGATTTGGTTGACTTGTAGACAAAATGGCCAAGTTGAGGAACTCATTTCTCGATGAAAATGGCTCAAAATGACGAAATTACCCGATGTATTTCCCGTATCATTTTTGCTGTATTTCAACTGGTGCTTACTACAGATAACAATGTACTCATATGTCATGTACAATAAACCTTCAAAACGGGGGGGTCAGTTTGACGAAGTATCAGGGTAGAGTGAAGGTTATATACACTTGTTCCTTTTAGCACGGAGTAGCTTTCCATCGTTTGATCGCTATCGCCTTCGTACTAACCAATACAAGAATGATTGATTTATGGCGATTGACCTGTGGCGCGTTGCTAACACAGGATGACGCAAGAGGTTTTGTGCATTCGATTTGTGTTCAGCTGTGGTTGCGTAACTTTGATTGTGCTGACCTCAAATTGAAGTCATGTTGGGAAATGTTCCGCTAATCGATTACGTAACTGTCTCTAAGTTCTGCCGATACAGATCACACTTCATCACATTCGAATGATTAGATAACATTTGGCTTGGTGAAGGGGGAGAGACGTTTTGACCAGTGGTGGTGTTGTCCATGCTCTGTACCGTAGAACAAGACTGGGGTGATAAATATAATAAGTGGCCGGATTAAGTCGATTACGCAATGTTTAACCTTACTCACCACTCTTGTGTTGTAGTTCGAGTGTAACTACAAACTTTTTTACTGCTATAACTTAGTCTTAAATTTATACGTGCACCATGAGTAAAGGGAAATCCAGAAGGATAACCGTTGACTTTCAGTGCACATTCGACACGTTGTAAGTAAGATTGAAAGCTCTGAGACCTGTTCATCCAGTTATATTGACGGATGTTTGAACGAGTCCACCTTCGTACTGGATCGACGCGAAACAGTGCAAATAGAGATGCTGCCCAGTCCGTGTTCCTTTCCGGTAAACGTATCTGGAAATCGAAACATTCGGTCTGGGAGCAACGCATACGTCAAGGAATGATAGTCGGTTATCTTACTCATTCTCTAATACGACTGGTGTGTTTTGGTATGACCCGTTCATACAACACAAAATTCATCCCGTATTCCTAGTGGTAATCGGTGTAACGCCGGTATAAAACTGTTCAGCTGAGTTGTCATTCTATCCTATTTTTCAAGTAGGAGGTAAATATATCGGTCGTAGTTGAACCGATTGGATTACTCATTGATTGGCTGTCATCTTTTCGAGGATTTTCCACCGCATTAACAGAAAGAACTTTACGTCACTTTGGTCATACTCTGGTAATGTGTCAGAAGATTTGTTCCGCCCCCTTCTTATAACTCAGTGTACGTGATGGATAAACACGTTTTCTTCTGAAATAAGCAACAGTTACCATGCAGAAACAGGACTCCGCCAATACATTGTGTGATTTTGTAATATGGTGTTTCTCGTTCAAAATGCAGAATTCGTCGTATGTGGAGCACTGGAAACGGGAACAAAACAGTTGTTTTAACCGAGTGTGGTTTCGCGGGCAGTGTGGAACTGTGCAGAAGGCGGTGCTGGTCAAGGATAATTGTTTATTGAGGATTTCAGATGAGACATCACCAATTTGGCATACATAACACAGCAAATCTCATCAGAAACGTACCATTGCAGTTCCCGGTTGCACGAGGGGTAATGAATGTAAAAATCGATAGTTCTTCTTTGAGACCCAGCAAATTTTTCTCAGTGATCTAGTTGACTTTTGGTCGTTGAAAGTAATCTCCAACTATGTTACCTACTACTCACAAGTGAGTAGTATCTCACAACACTAGTAAACATGGAATCATGAAACCTCACAGGTGGAACACAAGCACACCATGCATTTGCGTTGATCGATTTTTCGGATTGGTGCTTCTACAAAGTGTTTGTAGAAAAAGTTTGAAGAAGTTTAAGAAATACGATAGGCTGTAGGTGCTTGCCAAACAGTTCTTAGTGATGTAATCCAAAATTGATTGGAGGTTTTCAATGGGACCCTAACAACGAATCCTCTTAAAGCCTCAGTGTTGGGGACAGGAAACGGGAGTATCATACATGAACACAAACTCCGTCAATGAGATTCTCTCTTAAACGACAAAGACACCATCACACCCAGAAAACGGTCTCATTAAGAATGTGTGCTGACCTCGGTAGGTTAATCGACAATTTACACCTGGAAGGCGAGGCCATTAATTCACCCTGATCCGCTTGCACAGTGGTTTTGCTCTCGGTTAAATGTAGCATGTGTCAAAGCCTTAGGTGGAACGGAATATGACCTAGCGATCATGGATAAGCAGTGCAAACTGCGGTGGATCTCAGTCTGAAATCTGACTCATTCTGATATTGAAAAGGCTGTTCTGTTGCAAGTTCTTCATACAGTCCAGGGATGTATTCCAGACCCAATGTCAAGCAGCTTAACATATGCCGATCATGCAAAGTATCAGCAAAAATTATGTCAGTATGTCGACCATCGGATTCATCTTCCGCCCATCGCGAACTTGCGGGCAGATGAATAGACAGAGACAATCTCTTTCTCCGGAAGCTTTTTATTACCCATTCATTAACTCGCGGTCTTCCGTTTGTGCACGCGGTCTCGCGGTCATCGGCTGTGCATTCACTCTATAAGCCACGGAGATCGGACCTAATGGGCGATATTTAACAGCCGTGATTGTTTACCTTCCCTTGAATAACAATACCATAAATGAGGTCTTTCTGTTACACGCTGATTTCCTAATCACCTGCAAAAACTCAAATAGTTTGGTGCTTGGGAAGTCTATCCCATCCTGCTGCACCCTTAAAACAATATATGAACGCTGCCTGGTTTTAGGGATTTTTAGTCCGCAATCCCAGATGCATGTGTATGCGCTTTGTTTTCATCTGTCATCTGAGGTACACAAACAGTCGCTTGAGTGCCGAGCCGCAGGCTGCTAAGCTGTCCTCAAATACAACTGTATTTTTTCTTAATTGGCAGATATGCATAGGTTTCGGATACTTCGGTACATCGTCACTGGTTCAAATGGCTATATACGGTTGTCGCGAAGCTCTCAGTGGAAACAGGGGATTTCAGTGCATGCAACCGTTTCATTTCGTGTGGAGCGAACTTATTCCCCGAAATTTTTTTCGTCTCAGCTGATGCCTCAGGCTCCGTCAACATTATACAATCTCGTGGTTTTCTCCTCGATAGACCTTGTGTACAACCTCATGTATGCGCCTTGCATTCTGTTCGTTGTTTGGTCTCTCCTCCATTCGGAACGGGACTTTTATAGACTTCCTTGTGTGCCAGTTGGTTACCGCTGCGGGAAGGAGGATCACACAGGTGCAATCTGTTGATCAACTGTAAGCATCACCACTGTTTTCACCTCTACTGATATATAAACGTTAGTAGTTCTATTCATGAACCTGGGTCCATGAGTTTAACGCGTCACAAGAGGCACCTCACTGTTAACAATGTCGAAACTTTTAGTCTTCAGTCCCCAGAGTTGAGGGCAAAGGGTAGAATACCTGTGTAAGCCCCGTCGCCACTGGATGAAAGTATCGATCACATGTAGTCATCCCTCCACAGTACTTTATGGAACTCACATAGAGGTAGCTTGAAATAGGCACTTATCACCTCCTCTACCACAATCGCTAAAAGAGCATTGTCGACCTCCGTGAGAGTCAGTAGACCAACGGCAAATCAACCGACTGAAGTTCCCACAGAGTGCAAGAATGCTATCTAGTGCGTAACTATGCCCGTACCTGGAAAAGCCGCTCAGACTTTGGGTTTATATCTTTCGTCAGGAACTTCCTCACGTGCATCAGAGCCCCCTTATGCGCCTACAGGTAACCGGGGAGAAAACAATGGACCGTAGAAGACCATTGTAGCTAGTCCCACGTAGTCCGACGACCAGTACTGTGGTACCAGTACGGTAGTACAATGTACACGCTTCAACTTGACCAGGGTATGTCACCGCATTACAATATTTTAGGCTCAGTATGATGTGGAAAGTGTACAGCAGTCTACAGGAGTTCATCGTTAGTCGACCAGAAGATCTCCAACTGGGTCTCAGATTGCTCCATGCATTGGCATAAGCCCGATCGGTGTTCTCTCGGGTCTTCAGTGGTTACGTCATCATAAATCCCAGGTTCCTTTTGTAGGATTTTCTGCAAAATGCGGTTCCTTTAAAATTGTAAACCACCTACGAATCAGCGCATTCCAGGTCCAAGGAAGCAAATTTGGCAGTAGTGACGGGAGGGGGCCCACGTATCCAATGGGCCTCAGTATTCAGATTCTCTCGTTGGATTCGGCAATCCTCAGGACCCTCAATTGTTCTCCCGATTTCTATAACATCCGGTTACATAAGGGATTGGCAGGAAAGGTGTCTGGGCAAGTCATTGACGTAGCACAGTAAAGTAACCTCAGGGAACCCCACTGGAGATAGGATACCGCGTGCACAAGGAGATACATTTTCCTATCGGTGAGGAGATTTTGCGGCTATTTCAGCATGGTATCAATTACTCCAAGGCTGTTCAGCTCTCGAAAAAGACGATTAAGGGAAACTTTGTTGAGGACCTCGCTGAAGTCCACGAAGATGATGTTCGTTCGTGTCCTTTGACTTTGTCCTCAGTCCAGTAATCGCGAGCCAGGAGCAGGTTCGACAGACATGAGCGACTCGGACGGAAACTACGTTTTTGGTAGCACATGTAGTCATGGCACACCAAATTATGCCCAAGCCATGCAGTTACCAGTCGTTCCAGTACTTTAACCATCACGTTAGTTAGGCTGACTTGTCCACAGTTACCATAGTCACTCATATCTCCACCTTCGGGTAGTGACATAATGATACAGCCTCCCACTGCAGCGGTAAACATCCTTATGACAAAGACTAAGTGCATAATGGCATTGCAGTTTCCTTTGCCAACTCCTTCAAGCGGGTGCACACCATCATACAACGCGGATTGGTTAACCTTCATCCGACGCAGCTCAGAGG